CGACGCATGAACCAGCATTTATGGTCAGCGTGAGCCTAATATCGATTAGCTGGAGTGAGGGAAAGGAAGTTTATGCCTAAGCGCAACCTAAGCCACGATTTGATCTGTATACCGTACTTATAACGATGTCGCCACTTGTCAGTACTGCTATGTGTCCTTAAATTCAAACAAAATGGGTCTCTATTCAAGCACCCTGTCTATTACTTCCCTTTGCAAAATTCTACTGCTGTCGAGGTAATTCTAAATAGTTAATGACTGTAGAGCCGCAAAGTTGTAGTTGTGTTAGTTGCATCACAGTGGACGAATCCCGTACGGGCATAACAGATCCGCGGGTAAGAACTACCCTGTTGTTAGTAAGTGAATAACCAGTGATGGATACTTTTGTGTGGAAATAGAGATGAGTTCATATCAAAAATTACAATACAGTATCCTGGAAACTGATTTGCAATGGGGATTTTCATCGCTTTCGACAACTTCAAAGGTGGTCTTTGTGGTTTGTTTGTGTCGCAGAAAAGTAAACTTGGGGTCGTTGGTTTGTTATCAGATTGTGTACAGCATAGCTATAAAGGCTCCTATCAAGGAATCTTCACCGGAAAGCTGTGTACAGCATAACTGTAGGGACTCCTATCATGGAATCTTCACCGGACCGAAATTCCCTTCATTTCCCTTCAGCCTGTCAAGCTCTATGGCTCAGCGCCCTAGAATGTCTTCTGAAAGACTGATTTGGAAGTGAGTATCTGGGATGTGAAGCCGTATTTTCACAAAGTGCCCATCCCGTGAACTTGGGGTGTTTTTGCAAACAGGCCATTGTCGACAGACGAACTCAACAGTTTTTTGGGGTCTGAAACTCAGTCCCACGAAATAGAGGGAGGGAAAGGATCGAAAAGGAATGGGCTAAGGAAGGGGGAGCTGTGGGAACGATTGGATCAACGACTTCGCAGCCATTTGTATGATGTACAAACAACGATAGGGAGAATCCTGAGAAAGCGGCATCTAGAGGAGACAGCAACTCGTAAAAATTTCGCGCTAAACGATGAAATAGGAGTGTAAAGAGGGCAAAGCAGGTCTCTAGTTTCGATCGGATTTCCCACAACCCGTTATAAATACCCAAACGTAAATGATACGGGCTTTTACGACCATCATCGATTGGTTCCCACTCGTGCAATGGGAGAATTCTGTCGTGAATGTTTGACTTTTGAGGGATCTTATTTTAAATTTTTCCCATTTCGTCGAAAATCGTTGACAAAAATGTCTTTCAAATCGTATTAGTACCGGCCCCCTAAAACGGCTACCTGTACTTTTGAAAGAAACAACTGGTAGGGTGATTAAATAGAAACGGTAGCCGCAAAATTAGTGCAGCAGGTGCTGGCAGCAGCCATTGTTCTCGCTTGGCTTACAAAAGCATTTTAAACAAACCGAATTTTTCATCTTTTTTTTTGAGTCGATCCATTTGCCCACCTGCAACAGTGGCGTTTTTAGCCACGCACCACACGATAGCCAAAGTCAAAAATGAAATAGCTGGAATAAGGTATCAGAGTGTGGGGAAGTATCTGCCGAAATTTTCACTAAAGTTCCAATTTTTTTCGAATTTCCCCGAAAATTTCCAAAGGAGTACAGTCATTTAATGGTTTCTTGTATGCGACAATCCCTCCAGATATTTCATGATTTCGCAGCCGATGGACCAGATCGAAACTCATCTCCGACCTTTTCGTTTAAGACTTCAGACGTTAGAACGGGCGCACAGTGGAGGATTTAAGGCCATGTACTTGCCAACAGCTTCAGCACCGAAGTGGTCGGTAACAAACTCATAAGGAGCACGTTTCATTCACGGGGACCCATTGGCCATTTTAGGCCTAAATGAGCAAGAAATAAGGACCCATTGAGCCATAACGAAAGCGAGGGCAAAAGAAGTCCCAGAAATGTAAGGGATATAGACCATGGTGTCCGGAAATCACAATTACGGTTCGAGTCTCATCTGAGCCCGGAGTTTTGTCCATAACTCGCTAATCTTATGAGACTTCCCCATAAATCAGATCAGCCATCAAAAGATCAAGTCAGAAGTTCAAGGACGTTTCAGAAAAATCTGTATCGACTTGTGGATCAATCTGGACTTCTGGCGAACAAATTTCCCAAATGACGAAATGATAGTGCTATATATAAAGGCCCATTGAAATTTGTCAAATTAATCTGAATTTCTGGTTTTTAGAGTTTTTTTGTATTATAATCGCAAAAAAAGTAATATGTTTACATCCCAGTAATTAATATGTTTACATCCCAGTAATGTTTGTCTCTTTCAGGTATACATAGCTGAAGCTTCCCTTTTGACGAATATGGAACAGTGCAGTAGCTCATTGGATCTTGATCATATTATGGATGGTTTGAGGCGACTGGCCGTTTATGAGGCTGACATTCAACGACGATTGTTCTGTCATGTGAGTTTTCTTTCTCAGCTCTTTTCTCATTATCGCTATAGCCCACTTCTCAGCACATCCAAAGTGTTCCAACCCTCGTATACCGGTGGGAGTGGGATCATTGCCGGGCTATCACCTACATTTTGTATTTCCAACTATCCGATCGATAATACTCACATCTAAAAAGCTTTCATGGGGTTGTGTCTATTGTGAGAATCTCCGTTTTTGACCTGTTTAGTATGAAGGAAATATCCTACAAGGATTTTCTATTTGGACCCTTTCCAGAAATACTGCCCGCCCTGATGTTTTCCTCCTCTTGTAAGCATCGGAAGTTTGCTTACAAGAGGAGGAAAAGGAGAAAGGAGACATTTCGAAGAAGTTTTTTTTCACACCGACGTCATTCATACCGCCCTCTCTGATGGGAATCATCCGATTTCCTTACATCATTTGTGATGACGAATGGGTTCAGGAGAAGTATCATTGACCAATGTAGCTAAAAACAAATAAACACTTTGTTGACCAAAGTTCTCTCCGACTGGGTTATCCTCTTCCAATCACCTGATCGAGTCGTTTAAACTGGTTATGACGGTCTAATGCTAAAAATGAGGTGTGAACTGGGAGTTTTCGAAGTTTCAGCAAGAGTTTTCCAGTGGACAGGGCTCTAAGCTAGCAAATGTTAACGAAATGAGGGCTAACATAGATCAGAGTCAGACTAGCCTTTACCTACAAAACCCTTGGGTAATGTCCTGTTCAGCTAGTTTTTTGTCAATGGGCTTACCATCAAGATAGGACCGCCGTCGCAATCCTGATCCATGGGTCAGTTCCTGGACTAACCAAATTGAGCTCTCCCACGAGAACAGCTGATTGGTAGCGGCACGGCTAATGGGAC